ATATATATATATATATATATATATATATATATATATATATATATATATATATATATATACCAAGTCGTAACCTGCAACAATAGTTACAATAATAACAAGCAAGCCAACTATCACCGTAAGATGGCCGGTAAAATGGCCGCCTATTGCCTTGGTTGAACAAGAGCATTGCGAGTCCATTTTTATATCCAAAATGTCCTTGGCCATGTGACGCTCTTGTGCGGAGGGGTAGGCTGCCACAATTTTCGAGGACGCCCTCTATAATTCTTTATTAGATGGTTGGAGCTGCGGAGAAACAGCCTCGGGTAGGGGTAGGCATGTGGCCCATACAGTGGTGGTCAGCGCTTGTGACATCTAATCATAGGGTCAAAGGTTCCAACCAAGTAGCTGCTTGAATGATGTTACTTTTGGGCCAGTTGCTTAACTCTTTCTGTCTCCACCCTGCTTTTACTTCGCATTGCAGACATTGCAGACAGCGCGCGGTAGCTAACGGACGGATGCATGAGCTCCCTCATCAACGCTGACATCTGGGGGTTCCTGAGATTAGTCATAAAGCTTTGAACAGTTGCTGCCTTCCTTATGTTTGCAGGGAGGTGATTCCACCAGAGTTCTTGATGCGAAAAAAAATTAAAGCAGTCTTTATTTGCTGGTGGGTAGAGATTGGCGACTGCAGATGATTATGACTTCCACCCCAGGTTTGTCAATATGGAAGATACACTTCAGTTCCGTAGAAAATCTTGACACAAAAGGTATGGCCGGTTTCAGTTGTACTGTTTCCAGTTTGCTTTAATTTTGCGCTCTTGATGGTATGCACGCGCAGCATCCAAGTTAAGGTCGAGCCAAGATTTTATAAGCAGTCTTTGTCACCTTATCTGAGCAGCTGTAAAAAATGTTGAGAAACAATCCGAGTATCTTCTAATCAATCCAGATTGATCTGTGATTCAAATCCATCCCAAGATAATTGTAACTGTTACCCGCCAAAGGAGGTTTACCATTCACCATGTAGGTTGACTCGATGGGTGTTTTCTTTTTGATGGTGAGCACTGAGTAGCATTCACATGACATGATTCCCAGTTGCAGCGTTTATTAATGTCATTTTGCAAATCTTGAGTGTCCTCCTTTGTTTTTATTTCTCGATATGGGATGCAATCATCTGCCAGGAATCGGAGGTCATTCAGGTACAATACGAAAGGCAAAGGTCCTAGAAGGGTGCCCGGTGGCACACCAGAGGTCACATCTATTGGTATGAAGAATCTCCCTCCAAAACTACTTTTGTGATTATTTGTAAGAGAATTGCTGATCCACTTGTATAGTGAATTCCAGCTTGCTGGAGTTTCAGTAAGAGTAATTGATGTGGCATACAAAGTCGAAGGCCTTACTAGAATCCATCATGGTGTCATGTGCTTACCTTTTTACATCGAGAATCTTTACCAAACCATCAAATGTCATTGCAAATTCTGTTTCAAAAGATTGTCCTTTTCGTAAACTAAGTTGCCAAGGCCGCTATCTTCAACAAAAGGTCATTCACCTGAAAACGGAAATTTGACTTTACATTTTCTCATCTAACTTTAACAACTGAATGTTACATGGCCCGATCGAGTCAAGGGATTTGTAAAGATGAGCATAGCCAAAGAGATACATACATTGTTTGGTTTGACTGTTTGGTCTCCACTACCTTAATACCCATATTCACCCCAGTTTTGCATTTTCTCTGAGTCATTGTGAGTTTGATAACATAGTGGTAATTGCACTTTGGTAGGCATACTGACTGGGTGGTCTTTAAATACATTACCGATATTTAACCAGTTTATAGAGATTCCAATAAATACATCCATGTCTGTAATATGGAAATATAGTGTCAATACAACTTCCTCTACGTTTTTAATTAACGTATGCAGTTTTTTTTCAAAGATGTCAAATTAGTTGTAATGAAGCAATTTTTTGCTTTGAAAGCGTGTAAGAATATGTAATTTCCATACTTTATGCATAAAATTATAGCAGGGCATAGGAATGCGTCAAAATCAATTCTTGTCAAAATAGACAAAAATGGATCATCTACGACACCCACAACTGCCGCATCATGCTGAATCGGTTTCTAGTTCTAACTGATTATCTAAATCTGAGAGAGCCTGGCTCGCTTGGGCGTCTGACTCTGCCTCTTCGTCGACTGCATCAGTTTCAGCCTCACTCAAAGCTGAGTACTGTTCTTCGCCTTTCCGTGAGGATTTCACGCTCCACAGGGACACATCCGAATCGGGCGTGTCCGATCGCGCCTCCAACTGACGAATTCTCTGGTGCCTGGCCCCCGAAGCCTTTAAGGTAATCTCGTCAAACGAGGGCGCCTCCGGCAGCTCGTACTTCCCTTGCGCACCTGCGTAGAAGCGCGGATGGCTCTTCTGCCTCTGGATCTCGGCGCGGGACAGCATGGGCGGGCCAAAGTAATTGGCAGGGTTCTCTCGTTCCCATTCCTTCTTGGGAACCAGCTCCACGTTTGTGATCACTGGTAAGTTGTTCGTGTCCCCAACCCCCTGGTTAATCAGCTTTGGCCTAGTGTGCCTGTTCTGCCCTCGTTTTCTGGCGAAGATCTGCGCAGTTAGGTCGGTAAAGTTGGTAAAGAAACCCACCCCGTCTGGGACCTGGAAGGCACTGACGCTTGTTTTGCGCGCACGCGAAGCTGGAGTATTGTCACTGCTAGCTGGGTCTTGACTCTTTTCAGAGCTGCTCCTGTGACGGCGTAGCGACTGCCTTGATATGTCTCCGTGGGCGAGCCTCTCCAGCACCTCCCTGGTATTCATCTCGGGCCTCACCCTGTTGACTAATGTCATTGTTGAAAAGTTAGCGGCAGAAATATGGATGCTTGGGAAGTTGGCCTCATTGCGAAGGGCGGAATTGCTGCGTCTGTTCAGTCTATCGCACTCGTGGCAGGCCTTTGGCCCGAGGACATCGCAGCATTCCCTGGACAAGTTGTTCACCTGAACGTAGAGATCGTCATTCAGAAAACTCTCTGTCCGCAAACACGGCCGTTCGCGGAACTTCATGCACAAGTATGCGTGCTCTCTTTCCCGCCGTTTTCTTCTTGTTGGTGTCCCACTGAAGCTTCCGTAGCGGGGGGAGCCGTGCTGCCGGACACCCATTGCCGAGGAGATGTTGAGACGCCTCTCCGCGTGGAATTTCTGTTGCTCTTTCTCGATCGCAGCCGTGGCTACCTCGTCAGCTCTCATGTTGAGATTTTCCAAATCAGAAAGTTGGAGCGACAGGTTGATATATGGTGGTGCCGTGGCACTCCGCCCCGTTTCGGTATCGCCCGAGTTCACGTTGTTTGCGTCGGCTTTTGGCAATGGGACCGATGCACATCTGGACTGGACCCCTGAAACGGTTGATTCACGCCTGGAAACTGGGGTCGGAGCGGTGTTCGTGGAAACACCAGGGAAGTAATCCTGCATCGCATCGGCGCATTGTCGGCTATTAGGTCTGGTGCGGGCGGTCTGAAGTTCATCGTGAGGAAGCGACTTTTCAATGGAGAAAAAAACGTCTCGAGGCGGAGTACGGAAGGGGACCGCCCTGGTGTGGGTCACTCGGTGAATTTGCGTCCCACTCCTCAAAGCACGAGGATTGACCACTGGGTCTCTACGCCTGTACGTTCGCGGACTAACGTTGCCAGTAACCAACATGACCATTGAAAGATACTGTCAGTCATCGATGCCAGTCATTAAGGAAAAACCTTTAAATTTCGGGTATTCTTCCAGGAAATCTCGAATCTGCATGTTTTACAAAATAGACAAAAGAAAACAAAATAATTTCTCACGAGGGTATAAATATTTTCATCAACAAGAAGTCCATCAATTTTTGCAAACATGAAAAACAAAAAGAGATTTGTATAAAAAATACTCCTCTTGGAATTTAAACATAATAATTGTACTATTGTTATCGGGGATATTTAAGCTTATGTCACAAGCCAGGTAGTGGGAAACGCATCATTAAATACAATCCGAACACAACAGCAAATCCTTCACTTTTATCGTAAACTCGCTTTCAGAGCGAAAAACACCGATCCTTAATACATGTACTACCAAGTGAAAGTTTGAACTGATTGTATTATCCACCATACCACTTCTTGCATGACAGGGCCTCCAGTGCATTGTGCTTCACAACTTATTTAGACCTCGCTGGATTCTATCCAAACTGGGTATTCGCTTAAACACATTTGCAATGGCTCATGTTTAAAGGTTTCATCTCTTCCGAACAAACAAGAATTATTTGCTTAAGGTCATAAAACGTTGATTTCACACATAGCCTGTGAAAAAAATCTTTTCTTCGACGCACTCAATGTAAGCTTTCAATTTTTCCTGCTCCCTACTTTACAAAGCTGAAATTTGTGTGACAACAGTACTTCCTAACAAACTATGAAGGGTCACGAAGCGCACATGGCATAACCTTACAAATTAATAAAAAAATACATGTCAATCATGGGAGAAATTTATTGGAAGTACCTGTTAGTTCTGTTGAAGCGATTTAATGCACATTGTTGCACGTCAACACTTAAAAACCCCCTCTCCACCCGAACTTTCCAACGTGCATGACACAGATAAATACAGTATCCGTTGAGTACCCTGAAAGCGCAAAATCATCGCCTATGTCATTTCCGAATAGACCTACAAGTACTATGGAGGACACACCACCTCGTAGTATACTTGTCCATTCTGTACCAGCTTCACTGCCAGGTCATTTACTCGATAAATGAGCCCTCTCTGTAACAGTCGTTGGAACGAGCATATTGCACTGTCGCAGATAGAGGGTCTAACTTTAAAAAAAAAGATACCAGCTTCGATGCGCTACATTTTTTTAAGAAATACAACGACCGTATTCATGTACGGGACATGTAGAATCATGGATGATTAGTACCCATTCACGAAACCACAGCTCATATCACAATGCCTCATACGTACCGCGTCATTGCTTCATCTCGGCCGACACATTTCGGTTGTTGTCGTCGATGATACAATCTACCCCTTTCTTTCTTTTGACCATATTCTACATGATTTCAGTTGGACCATACTGTGCTCAACGAAGTACGGTTAACTGATGTCCTACTGTGTGTGACTGTAGAAATTTTGCTTCACAGATTCGGCTAAAATTCCTACAAGAATTCAGATTGTGGTGTTGATCAATATTCGGGCTTGTACTGCTCTATTGTCCCCCCGTCGGCAAACAACAGACCTCGCAACGCCGAAGGTGAACCTTTTGACACCGCGCGCCCCTGCTTGGTAACGGGACTCGCTAGCAACTAGAATCGCATTGATCCCGTGTGTACACTGGTTGACGGTGAATCTGCTTTTCTGTGTGTACGGGATCCGCTGTGTTGACGCGAACAATGACGGGCCGGATCGATGATTCGTGATGCGTTGAGAAATAAATTGGGAAGATTCACCCCCCCCCGGCAAGGCGATACATGTACATGTACCAAAAAGCTACAGTTAGGCCTAGGAAACAACCCCAAAGAAGAAGGAACATTTTTGAAGTGGGTTTTTCAAAGCATATCAGCAACTGCTATTTATCCTATAGAAACATGGAAAATTTCCTTCTACTTTAATTCGATAAGGGCCTTTACGTTTTTGTGAAGCGGCACTGCGGGTAGATGTTGAGTGCTTCAGAAACCGTGACACTCAACATATTCCTCAGTGCTATAGTATCCGCTTCACCCTGTCTCATGGCGGCCCACGTAAATATTAGTAACCCAAATGTAATATGGAAATTTCTCTGTCTATTCCCATGTTCTGGTGTGAGCTTTCAAACTGATTAATTTTTAGATTTCGAAAGTCTCAATCACAGTGTTCAGTGAGCCCCCTTTTTATTATTTTTTTTTCGTTTCTTTCCCCTTTTGTCTCATTTTTCTTTTTCAATTCCCCTCGGGGATTGCCCTCGGCGATGTCCAGTTTCTTCACACGAGGGCCGGACTTTATGCTTTCCTGTCGCGGTCAGTTGGCCTTCCGATGAATTTTTCACGACGGGGGTTCGTCATCAACCATGGGTCACGGATTAAAATGTCAAATGTACATGTACACGGAAAGAACATGTCGTTTTAATACCTCTTGTGTTGGAGCAAGATCCAATAATTCCCATTACAGTGAGTGTCATTCCACCCCACCGTCCCAACGTAATCGTAGACAAAGCCAGCGCTGCGCCAGGCTGATTAGCTCTCAGCTTGTCCTATGATTCGTACATCCTACGAGTACAAGGGCTTTATTCCTACATCTTGCCATGGACGTGTATGACGTGAAGACGTATGACTGCCACAAGAACTGTAATGAACAGGCGTTTTACTTTCTCGGATTCACCCGCCTGTCAATGCTAGAGACCCCCAATTTTATTAATGTGGTTAGCTGATCTACGCACGTGTTACGACCGGTCAGGCAGGCAAAATGTCTTGATTGGCTCATTAGTTTGGTCGTATTAAGTGGCCCATCCAATGCAGGTGTGTTGTCAGAACAGTGCAACACTGGTACATGTACTAATAACGTTAAGTTGCAGTGAAAATTTCCTATTTCAAAGGGCTCGTGTATGACAACAATATTCAAAAGATTCTGATGAGATTGTATGCCCAACATGTGGGTTTTACATATATAGACGGGAGCAACTTTTAAAAAAGCTCAAATTTGAAGATTTTTATCACTACGCACGATGGCATGTGATTTGATTAACGCCAGCCCAGCCAAACTAATGTGTCCACGATGTGCCATATACTTGGTTCTGTCCAAAGAACTTGTTAATTTTATTGCTGTGGCCCAGAAAGCATTACATGTATATGTAATATAGCAGGCTTTCATGTATTTATAGCATCGTACATGTTGAAATACGTCACCCTCTCTAGCTGCACAAAAATAAATGACAATAAGGCCTGAACCACTGACCGAGTTAACCAATCTTACGTCTGTCGATATATGACGAGAGACTACCGTTAGATTGATACACTCCATGGGAAGCACGGTGGCTTGTGGCATACTTTGCAAGGTGCGAAGAGATAAACGAGTCCAAATGGTTTGATAGTACCAGTAGACAGAACCACGAAGAGGCCGTGCAGAATCCGCAATCGTTTAAATTATCCTGTTACCAGAACTGTGCGGCTCAGTTACACCATCCGTAGAAACCTCTTACGAGGTTTTGACGAATCTTCGACCTACCATCCTCGCGGAATATCATCTTTTTCGACAAGGGCTGCTCATTTGCTTTGAATTGCCTTGCATTGAAAGTGCTGATTCATGGACGCATGATGGCGTGAAATATTAGCATTATTAGAATTTGTTAGCTCGTTCTCCGATGGGGCGACAGAGGCACTGCAATGTTTCAATGAAAGCATTTACCCTATGGTCGAGATCTAAATTAGGGGCAAAATTTAAAAAAATCTCCGGCGGACCTCTCAAATTATTTAACGACAAGTCTGCAGTAAGGAAAAGTTATCTTGGCCTCTTTTGCAGCTTTGGTTCACCATTTTGTTTTATTTTCCAGTAGCCTGAAATGATTGGTAAACAAACTGAGAACGGTCGGTGTGCACTGCAAACGACCTCGTGCCATTTGTATTGTCGGCAGAACAAAAGAGCAGTTAAGACTGAGTGGTATCCATGGGAGACAGTTTACAGAAAGAATTTAGCGCACCAGGGGCACAAACGGGGGCAAGGTTTGATAATAATTGTAGAATTTAAATACGTCACGGCTGTTTGACCTAGGCTATAGCGAACCCCACACCACAAATTTCAGATCCACAATGATATACATGTACATGTGTGTATATGTGTACTTTGATCCTTTCATTTGTAGCCAAAATGTTAATAAAAGGAATTCGTTAGTTAATTAAGCTAAGAAATGCGTTTCAAATTAAAATGATTCCTCGTTGTTCATTTCAAACATACGTCGATGAAGCTGTCATTTAGTCAGCTAAAGTCTACATGGAACAGCCGTTGTGCGAAACAGAGTTTCACTTTTGACCAACTTCTGACGTCTGATTTGCTTAGAGTTTGCGTTGAGAGGGATTATGGTAATCATGGATAATAAAGATTTTAGTCCATTACATGGCACATGTTGGGTCTCTGATTGCCGTATCAGCTTATTTAAGAGTAGAGCTTTAAACAGACAAACAGTGGTATCAGCTCGTAAGGCGATTACACCCCGGTTTGTGCTCAGTAAAATGAGCCAAATCATCCGCCTTCACAGGACCGTCTATTCACATGTCACGACTCCGCCACTTCTAAGGACGAAAACCACGCAAGGCCCGCCTGTAGCTGATTACAGGAGGTGTCTCATACCAACCGCCGATCGGTGTTCCGATTCACAGCCTGGCCCCGGCTCCACGACTGCCTGCCACGAGACCGCTATGAAACAATTCCCCTTGGCTTGCTGGTGTCTCCCAAACGCGGTAACCATGTACCATCAACACGCAGAGCGGGTTTGAAGTGCAACTCCTTCAGTTTTTATCAGGGTGTTGACACGGTATGCTCAACAAGCTCATCACCCGAACACGATTCGTCCATTGATTTGCAATGCTAATTACTTCAAAAGGTGGGCATTTCGAATTTACTGCAGACTAGTCAATGTTCAGCCATTATGTATTTACAGCACTATTATACTTTCTTCCCTTCACTAACGCAGGCTATTCGATGCCTGATACAGAATAAGGCTTTTTTTATTCAAGACGAATTGGAGTTGACACTTTCAAAGTGTACTAATGTATTTCAGACATGGTGGGACAAAACGTACTTCAAACGTTGAAACTCATCATGTGCCTGGTATTTAGTTCAAACCGCAAAAGCAATTGTTTTGAGCGTAAATATTCATAAATATATGATATAAACACACCAGCTTCAGCAAAATCGTCGATCTTTTACTCTAAGTTTTACTGCATTCAAGTTTTCTTGATACATTTAGCTTTTGGAAATATTTGTTTTTCTACTCCCTCTCGTTGTTCCAGTCGACACGACTTTGAAACTTTGTTATTTCGCTGCCAAAAGTATTATCCTCAGAAGACACAGAGCCATCTATCTTCAAACAGAGCAAATCATTGAATAAACACTTCATATCAGAAAAAGGGCAAAGTATATTTGCTTTCAGTGGTCAGGTTTGTTACTGGACGCATTTTGTTTCGATTCCTCGCATGTAATCCACCTTCTTTTCGTCTCGACTCTCAGGTAAATCATTTCACTTCGAACTTGCGGAAATGTGTTTTCTATCCTTACCCTCCACATGCCACAGAAGTAGGCCCTACTCTTCGCGCTATCATTTCTAAGACTATTATAACCAAGTACAATGTAACCAAAACACAACGCTAAATTTCAGGCATTAAAAAAAAACTGGGCGCACTAAGCACTCAAATAGAGAATGCACGAGTTGAAACCCAGACACCGCAAATTAAATTTCAATTTCAGAGATAGCTAAAGTACATCATGAATAACTCTTTATGATATTTTGCACGAAAATATGGCACGCTGGGAGAACACTTCTCTCTCGTGGTTATGAAAACACAGGCATTAAAAATATGAACATTTGATAAAGCTGGGTTTGAGGACAGTTCACAGATCATAACACAAAGGTGAATAATAACAATTCATAATAATACGCAAGGTGAGCATTGTCAGAGATAGGACAGGGTTCAAGTCTGCACCATGCATGTAGATTCTACTTATCAAAATCACCATGCCTTTGAATAACCGTGGGATAATTTCAAATCATAAAGAGCGTGCAACTGAACTTGAATTAACTGCTGGATCTTCAGTGCTGAAACTATTAGGTGGAATGTGGTATCTTGCTAGATTTAACAAACTATAAACCACAAAAGCCCTATAAATATTGACTTTTGCATTAAAAGCAATTTGTAACGAACAAATGTACATGTTTCACCTGCTTTGAGAAGTTTTCGAGATATTTTTCTACGTCTCAAAACATTTACGAGTATTGTTTACTAGATTGTTTCAGCCAGTATTTTTGACATCCTGTGACCAACTTGCCATGCTATCCTCAGGAATCACTTCTCCCTGAGCTTACGGGCGCTAAACAAAATCTATCCATGGTTTAGCTCTTTAACTGGTTGAACTTCTCACTAGTCAATGAGTTGAAAGTCATTACAATGATAATTAAGAAGTTTGGTTTAAACTGTCCCCATTAATGTTCAGGAAAAATTCCCACAGTTACTTTGCAAAATGTTCGGCTTCGATGCTCCATGAGCTGCGTATGCTTCAACAATATCAAAACTATTCTTCTCTATCTATTAAAGACTGTAATTGTGACCAAAGACTACTTTCAGATGTATCCACGCTTCTATAAAGTGTCTTTATCAGTGTGGCATGTTTCAACATTATTTAATCAAGGACCGAGGGTTAAAATGTCTAAATTTACTCACATCCTATGGGAGCTCAAGTATCTTTACACAGGCACATTCTCTAGTCCCGTGTCAAAAGCAATTAGAGTACCTCGTTTTTCAATCAATCAAAATGAATGCCGGTCAGCCCCGGTGGCAAGCTATTATGTTGACCTTTTTTCGCGGCTCGCTGGAAAAAATCCCTCAAAACATCCCTGGTCACACATAGAAACCCAGGAAATGGAGTTGTTAGCGTATTTGAGCAAGGGAACAAACCAAAGATTTGCTTTTCGTGTTGTGGTCGACAGCCTAATTCAGAAGCTTTTAGCAAGCAATAAAAAACTATTTATCATTTTCCCCCCGGGCTACAGAGTCTGTAAGAGCCGACAACAAAGTAAGTTGTCAAGATTCTCGACAACGATGTGGCAAGACTACTTTCTCCAGAAAAGAAAAAAAACAGGTATCATTTGCCTTGTTGGGAAGGCATGTATCTCAAGCGCATTGAATACTTTTAAGAGGGCGTGGAGACAATAAGTATTCAGTGAAGCCAAGCGTCTTTACGACTTAAAAAAAGGGGGGGGACGATCTCCCAGAAACAAACCGTTTCAGCATTTCTAACCACGAGTAAGCTAATTGGAACAACTGCAAGATCTGCGCGCATCATAAAATTTTTGTGTATAAAATAATGTCATGTTATCATTTTGTAAAATAACTGATCCGGGACACAAGCGTCAAATATTTCAGATGGACTTAAGAATGTCTTTTCGTTTTGCAACTTTACAGGAAGTATGTATCTGAACAAGCATAACGACGCTAGATGATACCGAGATGGAACTATGCTGAGAAGCAAGCCTCTCCCGCCGATTCAGCCGCCAACGACCCGCAAGCCATCGGTTAAGTGTGTCTCATTCCCGGACTGGGACCCCAAATCATCCCGACTTGACGACGAACAGGGTCGGGGACAAGCACTGGCCGTCACATGCCAATCAGGCACACGGCACAAAATGGACAATCCCAGACCACCGATGAACCGACCCGTGTTTCTCAAGCAGAGAAGTCCCCTGGTGACGACAAAGAGCCGGCCGGAGGATGGCGTTGCAGCTCTGTCGGCTGCACTATCCGCGCGTTACCCATTGGTTCGGGGATCTTCCACGAATGACTTCAAACGCTCGAGAACCTTGTACACGACAAATGCGACTCTCGTGAATCGTAAGAAACCGAGCGACTCCAGGGAAGGCAGGCCGGATAATCATAAACGACAGTCCTACCGACGGAGAAAGGACCCGCCGGTGTTACTGACAAGGGGAAGTCATCACTCCTTCCCGCCCGGGAAAGTGATCAAACGGAACGATGACAACATCGTCATACCTCAAATGTTCCCCAAGGTTCGTAGGGTGGACCGCGGAGGTCCCTGCCCAACGCAGCTGTACACCCAGACGAAGCTCTCGTACTCGGGAAAAATCAACGGCTCGGTTCAGTTGGACCACTATGTCCAGCGGAACTCCAGGCCTCGCATCGAGCCACTACAAGCCCCCTCAACGTCCGCAGGGGCGTCCGGTGGGGAGGACAGCCTGGAGTCTGTCATCTCTTCAAGCAGGATAATGCTCGAGGATCGTGGGCCTGACAGGCTGGACCGCGAGTGGCCAGGTAGAGGGTTGTCACCTTTGTTCAGACCATATCATTACTTCGACGACGAACCGTCTGTGCCACCCAATTCGGAAATTGGACCATCCAGAATGCAGATGATGACTCCAAATGAACACTGAGAAACCTCGACATCGTTTATTGGCAATTATTCAAATTATTTTAAAACTAAATGGTTGATTCATTTCTAACTAATAAAGCTTTCATTAAGAATTTTTATCATGACCACTTGGAATTAAATATAACATGTTTTCGTGTGATTTCGAGAGTCTCCTTGTCTTTATTCAGAGAGGAGATTAAAAACAAATCTAACAGCTGACCAACTGAGTACAATCAGCGCAAAAAAGAGCCGGGGAAGTTTAGCATCATGAAACAAAAACAGAAAATGTAGATGTCAACACTGATTGTGACAAGTCTCAGGTTTGATCTTTGACACGCCCGTCTCTTTTCGAGACTAGAAGTCCTAGGGTTTTAGGAAATTACTTCAATTTTAAATACTTTAATTTCCTAGAAGCAGTTTTAAAGACAATCCCATTAACCTTCAAAAAGAGATTTTGCCCCCCCCCCGAAATCGGCTGAGCCAAACCCGATGTTTTAAAAAACTTGGCATGCTTATACACATATTCTTCATTATTACAAATGTAAAGTTTAAACTCATGTGTTTTTGTTGTTATGGTTATTTGAAGTTCGAAGCACCGCAGTGGAAAAGGTATACATCTTTATTGTTTGCAAATATGGTTTCCAAATGAGTGCAAAGATTTACTCAAGAAACTCTAAAAGGCTTAACCTCTGAAAAAAATGCACTGCAGCGATATTGGAAAAAAGTTGAAGGGGGATTCCACCCTCCCAGATCTATTAGGGTTAATGCAGTGTGCATTCACAGTGCACAATTAAAACCTACGAAACAGGCCCAAAAGAACTATGCCTGGTACAGTATCATATTTCACTTTCCAATAAAAATTCCAATATTGATTTAGTTCAAAGAGGAAAACAGAACATGCTGTCTGAATGGGCTAAACAAATGTTCTTCATTTCCCAGAGTTCCGCTTCAATAAATTTCCCACCAACTGGTGTCTCCTTCCATGTTCCTATTTAGCAGTCATGGCAGAGTCCATGTTCTCATCTTCCACTACCTCCTGGGTAGTGACCTTCTTCAGTTTGGGAGGATGATAAGACCCCATGCCAGCAGCAGCTTCAGCTTCCTTCTGTGTGTACGGTTCTGTCTCAAGAGCTTTTAATCTGTCAGTGATCAAAAATCAACCGTGCAGGTTACTAATATGTTGTTGTTATAACAGACACACTTCTCTCTTCATCTTTTCTGTGTTTCTTGGTGGTGCCGAGTGTAGGGATTTTTTACTCGGCTGCGGAAGGGACAATGGATCTCTTGGTGATTTTGCACCACACTTGCCTCAGCCAGATGCCCCCCCCCGGCGAAGTGCTGCTTCACTAGCAAAGAAAAGACGGGCTGGTGGGATTCTTTTTGCAACCAGGCTTTTGCACTGATGAAAACCAAAGAGGTGATGACCACATATGCCAACACAAATTGGTCACACATACATACAGCACAAGTGGGGAGTTCCCGCCAAAAAATCATGGCTGCTTTGAAAAAGCATGCCCCCTCTTGTTACTGTTCAGAGCAAATAGAAAAGCCTTCTTTTATAAAGCAAAATAAAAATTTGGACAAAATTAAAGGGACTCAAGTGTATCACCAACATGCATTGGGTCACCATAATAAATACACATTTCATTCATTCCATGTGGTGCGATTCCTACCACTACTGAAAAAGGTTTTACCTATTCTGCTCACTCATATTTTAAAAAAAACACTCTGAAATTTCATCAAGAGAGGGCACCATCCACGTAGTTGGTTGATACAGAAAGATTTTCACATTACAATGTGCACATAAGCGAGAAACTGAAAGTAACATACATGGCATTAAATACAGCATCCATTTTGTATCCAGTTTCTTGTGCAGTGCAGCTGCAATTGGACCAGATAGAGGTTTTTTGGTTTTTTTTGCAGTGACCTAAGTCACATACAGATTTTTTTTTAGCATAATCACATACAAGTTTGTCTGTGTTTATGCAAGCAGCAGGGTTTCAGGCAGCATTTGAAAATGAAACAGAGTTCCCATTTTCAAGAGTTAGAATTCAAGAGCAGATTGCCAAAATTCTATAGCAGCCACTTTCACATAAAAAAACAAACCCCTCTGGAGAAACCAAATGTACCTTTAATGGCATTACAACTGCACAGCTCATGCTTATTACATCCACCTTGGCAGTGGTTCCCAACTACACTTGCAGTTGAGTCAATCCTTATTAATTGTGCATGTATAAGAGAGAAAAACATAGCAAATAGTATCAGCCACGTGGGTCCAGTGTTCAGGTGTTGCAGTCTGCAGTGGGCAGTGTGATGTGCACATGTATGTATACATTCAGGGCGTAATAAAAAAGGCGTTTTTACCTTCTTTTATGCAGCTTGGTTCGGAAGTGCTCCTTTAAGGCATGCAAGCTGATGAAGTGTCTCCTGTCACAAACAAAACACAGAAATTTAGTGTAATCTAATGAAGTAAATAACACAATTGCCAGAGTACATTAGGGTATCCAGTGATGACACAGGACACCTGATAGTATTGTTAATGTCATGACTGTATTTGTAAAAGCTCATTAACATACACTGTGTAGTTGCAATAATTGAAACAACTCTTACATGCAGACTCCGGCCACATGTATACTCATATCCCAGAGTAACGAGTCACTAGTTTTTGTGACTCAAATCGAGTCAAGTCACTGTAATGTATTCACTTGTGTTAGAATGTCATTTTAACGTAGTGCATCGAGTTGCAAAAATTGTGACTCGTTTTTTGTGTTAAGTCGAGTCATTGTAACGTAGTGAGTCGAGTTGCCAAAATTGTGACTCAAGTTGTACTTGAGTCAATTCACTAACTCGAGTCATGGTAACCCTGTCAGAAAGGCTATGGTTACAATGTACATGTATGATTCCAAGAAGGTTGGTGAAGTGTTACATTCCTCATCATCCACCTCTGTGACCTGTGTTCATATTTCATCCAGGCTTAATGTGAATTGGGTTGTCAGTCCCTACCCAATTCCGTGGGTTTAGGCGAATGAAATTTGATCGTTATTTTTCAGGGGTTTTCAAATTTAGATGCATTTTTTTCATTATTCATTATTTTCTATCATGAAAAATAATCCTGTTTTCACATGCGTGTGGCTCCGTCACTCATGATTGTGTGCTGGCCTGATGCTGTTTGACTGTTGAATTGCCGTCCGAGTGGTTGTTGATTCTGCTGAGGTAAAGTCTTAGTGCAAGACCGGGGATTGCAGTAGGACTGGACATGCACGGTTCAGACATGGCTTGAATTTTTGGTACCTATTGGGGGATGTTTTGACTTCCATTGTCTACTGGGTGCCCTACTAGGCTGACAAGGTGCCCATGGACATTCAAGCTCAGGGTTTTTGTGGTCTGATGACTGGAATTGCCAGAACATAACTTTGGCCGTAGGGAGTTTGACAATTTTTCTATCAAGTTTCGCCTTTTTATCAAAAATAATGAATAATGAAATATTTGATGCGGAGCCAAAATCACAGGCCAGCTCTGACAAGAAACAATAAATCTAAAATCACTGGCCTAACCTCAGGAGCTTTGTTTGGGGTTTTTCCTCTAACCGTTTCATTTTATCCTCCCCACAAGCCCCAGGACCCCTTGGCATGCTTGGGATTACAATTTCTGACTAATAAGCCTCTATCGTGGTAACATGTAAATGTCATGCAAAATTAGTCGATCTGCATGATTGTGCAATCTTTGAGAGAGATGTCGATCTTGTAACAAAATTTGCCGATAATTCTGGCCTTTTTTCCTACTTCTCAGTTGTGGAAGATTGTTTCAAAAAAGACAACTGTAGTAAGAGAATTAATACAAATCAACAGATAAAGTAATGTGATGGCACAATCATGCTGTTCAACTTGTCACATCCAAGATATATACATGTAGAGACTGGCATGGAAGGATTCAAAGAATTATTTGCACATTCGCATACATGTCATGACATGTATATGTAACAAGGCAATATAAAGCTTCAGCTAGCTGCATGCACAGAAAATTTGATCAAATAACAAGTGAATGTTCCTTACGCGCAATGCAAACAGTAATGCTGACCCATCCCCGGCTTGTCATGATCTATATCTTGATTTAACAGTTGCTTGGAAGCTTCCGGTTTCATGTCTTCGTGGATCTGGTCCAAGTCCTTCGTTTTCCTCCGTGTTCGGTACTTTTTCTGGATGTGGGTGTACCCTCGGTGATGACGTTTCCTTGCAATTCGCGTCATTGTGACTCTCCTGGGCGTGTAAGGAATTTTTTACTCTGACAGTATTAGGAAAATATTAGGGAGCTTCTTCTGGGACAGCGTTCCGCCCGATGGTACACTACTCCATGATTGATTGCAACATACTGTTCATGCTCTTGCAACAAGCATGCATGAACTATGTACGCTGCTAATTACAAGTGCGCCCTCAAGAGACGCATTTTGGAGATGAGTTTCTACAAGAGGGCGCAATGAATCGCTTCTGACTTCAGCGAGCAGACCTGTCAGCTTCCATAGACAACAGTGATAAATCCCCCCTTCAAAAAATCAAATGAAATAGGCCTACTCACAACGTTGTCAGGTGTTCAAGATACTTATCAAAATAAAGCTCACTTCCTCATCTTTTTGGGTTTTTTTTTCGATATTCAGTAGCTTATACGATGAGTTTTGAAGATATTTTTCTCCACAGATAATCACTCCTCAACACAGTCACGAGGCATCGCCATTTTGAAAATTGATGCCTGGCACTACATTGCAAAATAGAGCAATTTGGAGGGCCCCGTTAGACCTAACGCTTCCAGAAATACAAGCTGGCAGTCTTGTTGGTACATAGTAGATCCCATCCTCCTTCACAAACCATCAAGTCCAAGGACCTCGAAATGCTGTAATAGCAGAGAATTTCGACAGCCTCCAAATCGTGATTTCCGGTACACGCGGGCAATTCAAGTTGGGCTCATTTGCTGGCCTACAACCTTCAACGGGGCTGAGATCGGAGCATTGTTCTTTTTATGGGTAATTTCTAATTAGTATTCTCTCCAGAAACTCTCCTGGGGAACGATTAAAAACTACACCGTGGATTGCATAAAGCACACTTATTATTCTTAGATTTGTAGGCCTGGAAAGAAGTTATGTCTCAATTAAAAGTCACGGTCCCAAAATAGAATGCAAACAATCGGGATGCTCACAATATAAATCATATAAGAGTCACATTAAAGTTCACCATAAATCAGAAATGTGCCCATTATTTGTGCTTGAATGTCATCTGAGTTCAATGTTTTACCACTTTGACCTTCAAGCCGAGTCTGCAAATGTTGATCCAACGTTTAGCATTTTAACACATCCCCTAACATATTTCAATGAACACCTGGGTTAAATGTGTAAAAAAAATGGGTACAAAAGTATTTAAACTCTCAACATCAATATCTAGATCGAGAAAACCATGGGACACTGATGAAACAAAATCGGAACGGAAAGGGGAGGATACGTCTTAGGTCCAAATCCTATGCGTGAAGACTCACAGAATGTGAATTTGGGGTGGTTAAGATAAATGACAAACGCAATGAATTGTAGAGTGCTGGAATAATGATTCTAAAATCGCTCATTATCTTGTACTCTTCATAGCGTATTTTGTAATCTAACGCGACAAATGGAACGAAAACATTGCAACGGACAAAATGAACAATTCAAATTTACCATCAATTAGGCATATAGCTAATATGAGATTTGGCATGAATGCACAAGGGACGTTGTCCAGCAATTCAAATTTTCAGGAACATTTGAGGAATAGCATTATTTTCTGGTTAGAAAAAAGGGCTAACCACAAATGGTGGAATAACGGAAGCTGTTGACGTGGATCTAAATAAATGACCCCTACATCTTTCTTAAAATTCACCGAAATACACGTAGTAGCATTTAAGGAGATAATGTGCTCAGAACTTGAACTGCATCCTACCAGCGTGCAGTGCTGTTTACCGGAGAAAAGGTATAAACACTACTGAACGACTATTTGCATGCTTTGTATCTGAAGACTGTATCACTTGAGCAGACGAGCCATGATCTGGCCAGAAGCTGCAACCAGAACCAAAACATCCTGGTGGGAATGCAGTTTCAATCTGCTCAAGTTGGCCCATTGTAGTTCAGCAAGCTAAACCACTTCTCCAATCATGTATTTTGGAGGTTGCTGAGAAAAGACGGGAAAACTCACCTGAAGGGGGAATAGCAGACACACAATAGGAGCTTTAAGAGCGGCGCTTTTGGCTTGGAGCAGAGATTAACCTAGCTTAGGTTGACATTGTCCTTAATGAATAGTTAAAACGGCTAAATCAACAGAATGTATCAAGTCTGCTTTCATGTTTACAGTATTCACTTAGACCCTTCTCTGTGATTATTTGAAGTACTGTTTGCCCAAATGCAGTTTTGTCTTACCCGAGGCGCAAACATGTCATATTTTATGAAAAAAATGATTGTACCACTACTTTTCTTCCTAAGAGCCATCCTGAGAGCCATCCTGACTACATAGAAAGGAAAAGAAATTGATAATACTTAGCTTTGCTGTATGGGTTTGTGGGCCCGCTTCTTCTTTCCTTATGACTAAAAACTGTGTGACGGGCAAAAATCTTAGCTCTGAAATTCCTGATATAGTCTGCAGCAGGTCCAAACACTAGAGTAAAACTGACGTCCATGACTTTGCTTGGGGCTAACAAAACAATGGCCGGATTACTTAAACCTCTAGCTCCTGTGCCGGTTTTCGTTTCATTTACTAACGTGCATTGGATTCCCTCTCTCCCCTCCCCTCCCAACCCTCTCCATCTCAATAAAAAGCACGCTACTTGGTATCAAAAGAGGCTTGCCGGTTTGATGGAATATAAGATCGGTCTTGCCGGGAGTGGGATTTGGCTTGGTTAAACAGTCCAGTTTGAGCTTGTACTCTGCACGGCGTGTAGGCCTGCGGTTAATCGTTAGCCTATGCCTTAATAATAGTAGGCCTATATACTGCATGTGTAGGTTGCAATTTACAGTAGAATGTATCAAGTAGAGCTTTTTTCTTCCGAATTGAATGACGACATTTCGCGACACGACGTTATTTTTCTCAGAGTATGGGGGGGGGGGGCTGAGAAGGGGAAATCCAGACTTATTTTCCCTGACCAGTTCACTATGGTATACAGTGGGAGAAAAGTGTTCTTATAACATCGAATCATGCAGTTAGCGTTTTGTAACCGAGCTCCTGTCTGCGTAAAAGAAAAAATCAACTGTAATGATTAAAATCTTCAATTTGGTAATCAATTAACTTCATTAAGTTCCTGTATCACAAACAAGTGTTATAACAATCATTGACGTTATACTTTACGTCTATCCGTGCAGGTAGGCTGCCCGAGCTTTAAGCTTTGATTAATTCAATTAAAGCCGATTTTTTAAAAGACTTTTTGAGATCCTTTGCCGTGTTCACACTGAAAGTGGAATCCGCCCGAAACATTTCCTACACTTGTGTTTTTGCGCTCCTTTCAGTAACATCTTGCGGTCAGTTTTTAAACTATTTGTACAAAAAAAATCAGATGCTGTTCTCGTGCAACACGCAATTTCCTGAGATGGGTCAGCAAAACGCCCAAACATTCTATCGTGAATGCACTCTCTCTTGACTGCTCAATGTACGATGGGCAACACGCGTCATATTGGATTGAAACTTCTGAGAAATCACTCCTGTACCGCTTACTAATCAGTAATTATCACGCATTCCCCCTACCTGTGAGATGCCCCCCCCAAAAAAAAGAAAACGGCGCTATAAGCTTCAAACTATAAATGCACACGCCGGATCGTGTCAGTTACCCTCCAGATCTCCTAATCGATACCGGTACCAGGGATAAGATAATGATGTCGTAACTAGCTTAAATTATAATAAGATGAAAATCACTTATTTTAGTGACAGCACAAAATATGAAATTTGCCCGTAGAGTGGGGACAGGAAATTACATCCATTTGTACAGTAGGCCTAGCAATGCTATGCGCCACTTTGGAAGCCAGTGAATGGCTTCTACATCCTCAGCCAGAGGCAGTTGTACAGTTACCCTATGTTTTAGGCTGCCAAATGCATTCCATGTCCCAGCTCCGTAAGTACTGGTAATCCCATCGGCATGAGTAGACACATCGCGCATTATGCACGTATAAGGCCGTGCGCTACCGGAGCATCGTTCACCCTTAGCCTGCGCAAGGCTTATTCAGAGCGCGGGGAGAGAGAGAGAGAGAGGAGCGGGGGAGCTTACACCCAGCGGTTATCCCACGGGGGATTTGCGTATCCACTGCCGACCCCATATCTATCATTTCACCCTGGGTGCTGCATTCAGACTAGGCTGGCCGGGTAATTATGTAAGCCGCGGCGCTGGCTGCAAGTTCTGTTGACGTGAGGAGGACGAAATTCGTTCTTCACCTCATCGTCTTGTTGGCGTGGCTGTGTGGGAACGTAGACTGCTGTCATCGCCTCAGCTCTTTGATTCTCACCGGGCGTTCTGGTTTCCGTACACGGAGGCTGGCACGCAGTCACGAGACCTTATAGTCACGACGCTCATATTGGGGGCAGTACTCCAGTGAAGCACCCAACGGCAACTTCACAGCTAAACAAAATAGGCAATTTTTCTTTCTGTGGATGGAATGAACATTCTTCACCAGAATAAATACATTCGATAGCTTGAAGTCGTCTAAAACCTGGCTGAGCGCATCAAAGTGAGTCCAACCCTGGAAAACACAACTAAACGTAAGCATTGCCTTCATGTAAACTGCACACGTAGTATATGTGTGGAATTATATTATATACAGAAGGAGAATCAAATTTGGACGTTAGATATAAAGATTTTCGTGATCAGATTGTTAGAAGAACTATGTTAGAATCCTACGTGTTTTAGCAGTCGGAATGACGCAATCTGGAAAACAGGTGGATGTGTGTATATATATGTGAATGAAAATATACACATGAGTACTTGAACATATTTATTGTCCACTCGGGACCGGGGTTTTATGTCACATCTTTATTGATTTGTACGTATTTTGAGAAATGAATAAAGATGATTAAATAATAATAGTCTCAAAGTTCCATGCAATATTAAAAGTTCACCTTAATTCTAATCAATTCCTTAAGCATCAAATATGTCACATAAACAAGACGAAAAGCCAACTCCACTGATAATACATACACATTTTTCCTTATATTAATATTTCAATGGAGTGTTTTCTTTGCGGAATGAAATTGCCTTATTGTCTATCGCTAGCTGGCATTACTCCTGTTATTCCAAAGGTCATATCTGCGATGATAAGGGGCCTGCTTTACATCCTGTTGGAAGGAGGATATCTCATTAGTCGAAGCTATATGGATGCGTTCGTTTAAGGTTTGAAGACTTTACCATTCACTCAAGTTTGAAATTCAACTCATTCGGCAGTAGCTCCCGCATCATGTCATTATACGTACAGAGGCACTGGAATTGATAATCCCGACTGTCGATGGGTAAAGCATAATTTGCCCTCCATTATGAATGACAAGCCTGTGTTCTGTGTGTCGTGGTGCGTGTTGAAGTCTGCCACAAGTGCTTAATATTCACAGATCTGAACGACTCTTCAATGTCCTTCTGCCGCAGCATATTTTGAAGTTGATTTCTGAGTTCTTACTAAAATAATGTGTTTGCACTCTGTGTTCTTGGCTCAAGAACACAATGACTGAGATCCTGGAAAAGTGCACAGGGCCCATTCTCGGGAGTCGAGACGAATGTCTGGGGGCATGTTGACGTATATACTTCCTTTTTTTCAGTCAACTTACGTTTTTTCCTGGATCCAAACTTTGTTCAACCATCCAACGTAACTATGTCATTTAATGTTCAACACTTTCAATGCAGAGTTGTTCATAAATTCCTCGATTTTGTAATTGAAAGCAAAATACTGACGAAGCTGAACAGTGCAGCTTGGCTACTGAGTAAGACAGTGTTTGCATAAAAGGCATATGCACCATTTTACGGTCCACGACGAGCGATGCTGATTTTACTACGTTTGACGTACAATTGCTGCGATCGTGCTATCTACTTGAGATAGCTGTGCTGCTGGTGCCTCTAGTATCTTCCGAGAGCCAATCATGCCATCACGCGCGAAGGGTCAAAATGCCCTCGTTTGGTGTCGCTTGCAAGACGGTGCGGTGCATGTTGATTAATGTTTCTCAGCATCGGCCTGGCATTCTCTTGACCTCTGCTGTTTCTGTTCGCTTGAATTAAGGGATTTTTTGAAGAGAGAGAGAGAAGGATAAATCAGGTGTTTTGGCAAGGTAGACGAGTGAAAGATTCTAATGTATGTGGTGCAGCCAGCATATTGTGCCCATGACGGCATGTGAATACACGTCGACCAGTGGTCGCATTAATTCTAGAATGAAGGTTTGCATAACGCTCCTTGTGTTTAGACCTTGAGTTGGGATGTAATTAAGACCCATGGTGTATGTAACAAATGCAATGAAACATGTATAGCATTTGCACTGTTTTTAGTTTAGTTGAGTCCATGATGATGTGAGTCCTTTCACAAGTCAGAGGTGACAGGGTGAATAATGGGATGATGAATAATGTGACAAAAAGAATGATGTCGTCACAGTTCATTTGAATAACTGAAGTTGGTAAGACTGAATGATTCGTTATTTTTATACATTAAGAGTGCTGCGCCTTGATTACGTGCTTGGCGTCGCTGGTGTACTCCGTCAATTGTTAAGATCAAGACAATGGAAACCGCAGCCAGGTCAGAACAAGTGATTCTGCGTTATTAACTTTCAACAGCATTCATAAGAAAAGAAATATTTTTAATCTAGGTATGGCTAAATCATCAACACGGTCACACAAGCTGTGGCAAATGTACCGAAAAGGGAGAGCCATATATGGGAGAAGTTGAAAGAGACTTGTCACTCTTTCAGAGTTGTATTCACGGTTTTTGGAAGTGGTTTTCAATCTTTTGGAGAGTGAACCTTTCAGATCAGATGCCGCCACGAGTGAGCGCCTTATCGTTGGTCATAGCAACAACTCCCTGGTCATGTTGAAAAAGGTGTGGTTTAAAGAAAAGTACTTTTTATCCACATGCAAAATCAGGGATGTAGGCCGAATGCTTCATGGTAGGCACACTGTCAGATTAGAAAATGCTGGCATGCACATACTTGTTTCGCCGCTGGGTGTGGGAGGGGATTCGCACGCTAGGAACAAAGAAACAACTAGGCCTATGCCACACCGTCGTGCCCGTAATATATAGATGGCTCTTAGTTGTGAAGTGGGATAATCAAGTTTCTTTTGCAGTCTTAATTTCAAAGAAAATTACTTTTCGGATTTATTGGTGTTTGTTCAAATGTTTGCATTTTAATAGGAGATCCTCACTCATCACGCCCATTAGAAATAGGCCTACATTCATTTCTGCGATATTTCAGTAACGGAGATGTTTTTCTCGTGGTGCTAATGAACCTATTAAGGTATGTTGGCTGAGGGAATGCACATTGAAGGAGCGAAGGCCTATGCAGATGTGGGCATTTGATAACCGCGCCATCCCTTTGGATCAGGAAAACGCAATGGTGCTTTTGCCAGTAAACGGGCAATGTGAAATAAGGAAATAACTTGCCAGAGGCTGGTGTGTGTGTGGGGGGGGGCAGTAACTGTCTGCTTAAGGCAGTTCCGTGGAGATTAACTAGAAGTGGGACCGTCTGTCGTTAACCATTCCAATCCATTTCACTGTACGAAGAACTCCAGGGATGTTCCAACTCTCCTTTAAGCCACCCAATAAACAGGCAACTCTTTTAAGCAGGAAAGCATACATGGTTTCGTTTATAAAGGCAACTGACCGGTGATACTAGCAGCAGAGTGGTCATTAAATTCTGCAGGTACCGGTATAATTTCCTTCTTTTTTTGTCTCCCATCAGGTCCCCAATCAGCAGTTAATAATGGGAGATGCCTCTATCTGTCCGCCATTTGCGGAAATTTATGACGTTGTTTATTTGCGCAGCCTTGCGTGGTCTAGGAATTATAGCTTTGTGGGCCTGTCGCTGCGGCGTGGCTGTAGGGTGTTAAGTGCAATATTCTGCTTCATAGGATTACAAACTAATGTCCATGCTTGTGAGAAGAGCGACTATTGGATTTGTTCGTTGGAAGAATGTAAAACACACATTTGGCATTAGTGCATGCACATTTTGAAGAGATCTGTAGGCTGAAGTCCTCGAGATAAAAGGTACGCGTGATCCGTGCTTGGATATTATCATGAATGGTGTTATATTCAACGTCATTTATTGCCATCACAAGAGTAATAACTGTCCAAACAGTAAGTGACATTCGTACTGGTTTAATATGGACATGTTTCTTTGCAAAATCTCACCTAGCATCGTTATTTATGAGAGTCTTGTTTGCTGCGCAGATGTGAGACATGCTTAGTGCGCTTGAGATAATCTTTCTCAAAGGAGACTAAGCCTCAAGCTACACCGGAAATGAGAAAACACCAGTCGAATAGTCCCTGATGTTTTACTTATTACTGTAGTGATCTTTTCACCCGAAGGCAGGCTCCCTGTTTAACTTTAAGCAAGTTAACAGTTCGAAAGGACTGTTGTTGATATTTTTTATACAACAGGCGTCTCTTGGTAAAGTGATCAGTTTAGCGAACTAAATACCGTCATTTTCAAGTATGATTTACAGACAAATCTGAAATTCTGTCTTTAAATCAAATTTACAGGAATTCAAGAGCATTAAAACGTTGTTGCAATGAGGCAAGGGCTGCGCTGCAAATGTGTCACGTGTGCTATAGACCACTGGTTATTTTCTTGGTTCTAAGGCAGCGGTGTTAAACTAATATTCTTTATTCTGGACTGTTACTGTTAACTTTTTACTTGGTGAGAATTGAGGGAGAATTTCTCTAATAGCTTTGGTGACGATCGTACATAAATTTGATAGTAAATGTAAAAAAGTAGCATTGATCAGATACTTTCTCAAGTCCGGACCAAGCGCTAATAATTATGGAGATAATCTGTAAAAGCTCAATCCGAAACGCTCGCAGCGAACTTAAGTTTCTCATGTTGACAAGATTTACTAGAGTGGCTGTAATAACAAGAATTCCCTTGTTAGAAAGACACGTTTGCTTACGATGAGTGCAGACAGCCCGCTACTCGACACCTACATGTACATGTAGCTAGTTGAGAAACCGTAGTTCTGATTGATAAAATAGCAGGAGGTAGGCCTACTATTTTGTCAACATCTTGTCAGTATGACAAACAAACTAGTAGTAGTACGGGTTACCAAAAGCCACACCCGTCTTCTAGTCCTGTGGGTCTACGAATGTCAATATCTCTTCAGTCTGAAAAAAGTGAATTCGTCTTTTTCCACTGACAATAGTTCTCGTCTTCAAGTTTCTGACTCAACATGGTGGCATGCAGGATCGTCTCAGTAAAGCCAAAGAGAGGCCTAGGCAGAATGCTTCAAACATAATTGTATCTGTCAAATACCTTTAGCGTAGCACATTTCCAGTTGTTCATGTTTTCAACATACATGCATTTTCAGCCGCCAGTTGTGTTTAGATCGCATCACACAGGAAGAACGCTGGACCATGCATAAAAATGTTTACATCGTGAAGAACGCGGAAGTTCATGGCCAAATCTGTGCATTCAGTCAGCCGACAATTGACCCAGCCACCGCTGCCAGAGTTCCCAGGACCTGGATCTACTTGGCATTAGCATAATTGACGCTGACATAGTCAGGATAGTACAAACTATTA